TTTTTGATTAGTAAACTTTTTGATTAGTAAACTTTTTGACTAGTAAAAAGTAAAAAGACTTGTAAAACTTTTTGACTTGTAAAAAGTAAAAAGACTTTGACTTGTAAAATTATTTGACTTGTAAAACTTTTTGACTAGTAAAGTTTTGACTTGTAAAAGTAAAAAACTTTGACTTGTAAAATTTTTGACTTGTAAAACTTTTGACTTGTAAACTTTGACTTGTAAAAAGTAAAAGACTTTGACTTGTAAAATTTTTTGACTTGTAAAAATAAAAAGACTTTGACTTGTAAAATTTTTTGACTTGTAAACTTTTTGACTAGTAAAAGTTTTGGCTTGTAAAACTTTTTTGACATTGTGGACCATGAAGTCAATCCAAACCATTGATGGGTCAAGGCCACTAATTAAAACTCATCCCTCGACCGTTTTTGACTCACAAAACTTTTTGATTTGCAATCAAAGGGATGGATTTGCAATCAAAGCTTTAAGAGGACTGCTTATTTTTAATTACAAACATAATTTTCTATTTCAGTGTGAGAATATGCTCGCAAAACAGTTTTTTTTAAACACACAAAAATACTTTCATATCATTAAAATTAATATTAAAAAAAAGATAAAGATACCAATGCTTGTTATTTGTGTTTCCTCTGTGTTTATTTTAATCAAATGAAAACAAATGACCCAGCTTTTTGTCTTTAAAAACTGGATGAATAGTTTTTTATTGTGATATGAGGTCTTCACGCCACATTAAAATGACAACACAGGAAAGTATGTGAAGGTGTGAACACAAAATACCTGAAAAATAAATACATGTAACAACATGTATTTAGCTTTTTTCTTTGTTTGATTTGTATTATTTTGAATCTGCATAATTATCTGATTACATTGAAGTTTAAATGTATAAAAACAATAAATTGCATCCTTGTTGGTTGTTTCACATCACACAACATTTTCTTATCTTTCCTCAGTCAGGGACATGAACTTTGTCAGACTGATCACTTCAGACAGCAGGTTCATTAATGATCGATTATCAGAACCTGATAATCTAAATTATTGTTATTATTTGTAACAGTCAACTTTAAACAACAAACCAGCAGACAAACTACCTCAACCTGTCAGATACTTTGATTTGTTTGTCAGAGAGAAAGTTTGTAGGAACATTTCAGTCAGACCTTCATGCATCGAAACGTCTTTACAATTAATCAATCAAGTGAAGTCACCTGAAACAATCAGATTTTCATTATATGAAAAAAGAAACATCCCTTAAATGAGACCAACAGCATGTTGTAAAGATCAGTATTATAGATAGGTAGATATATTAAAGACTTTCTCTTCCTGTTTTTCAGGTTCTGTCTCAGCTGACTCCGCCCCTCATTGCAGAGATGGACGCGTTACTCGGCAACAAGCCGCGAAACGGAAAGAAGGAGGCAAGGAGCTGAGGAGGAGAAGGAGACAAAGTAATAAAATGATCAGAAAACTGAGAGTACAAGAAGAAAGGATGAACTCTGAGGAGACAAGGAAGGAGATAAGGGAATAAGGAAGAAGACAAGGACACAAGGAAGGACATCTGGAATAATAAACAATATTTATTCTTCAGGGACGACCACATCTTTGTCCTTGTGGAGAAGGAGACAGCAGAGAGACTTCGGTTCCTTCAGATGATCAGAAAATATCAGAAATATTTATTCTTATATTAATCCTGAGACTCCGGCAAAGAACCACCATCTGAAGCCATCAATAATCATAATCCTCAGGCTGCTGGATTATGAACGTTTTTTTTAAAGTTTATCCATGAGCGCATGTTAGAGTTTAGTCTCATGATTACAGTTCAATACGCATCCAATAATCGATAATTAATCAGATCAAAGAAGAAAAAGGCAGCTGTCTTTCTGTACGAGGCTCTGAACTCTCCTGTATTCTCTGACTGCAGTATTTTACTATAAACTATAAATCTATATTTTATGAATGTAGTTCCTGTAGTCTTTAGATTCAGGCCCAGTGGTGCTCAACCTGAGGGGTTTGGACCTTTTAGCGGTCATCAACTCGTCACACAAATCCGTGATTCATGTTGAAAGTTGGAAATTATTTCTTTCCAACACATTCTCACTCATTACATAGGACACTTGGTCAAGACCCCTTGAGCCCTGGGGTTGGTTTTTGACATGTAGGGCTCCGTGGTCAAGTTAACCACTAAAACTACTAAGTTAGGTTTAGGAAAAGATCATGTTTTGGGTTAAAATTACTTACTTGCTTGACATCACTTATGCATGTCAAGTAAAGTTATTTGCGTATTTAACACATTCAATGTCGACTTCTTGTTGCACATGAGAAACGAACACGGCCTTCTGGATGAAAGTCCGGTTTCTGGCCCACCGCTCACCCCAACCACCTCCTTACTCAGACTTATATATACTTATTATATTAAATATCCTATACCTACCTAGTGTACAAAAATGACGCTACCGGTCTTCACCCAGTGTTACACAAAGAATGAGAACGGGTTGTTCTTTAATTTCCTGTGAAGCATATATAAAATGTTTTACTTTTTATTTAATTAAACTCACATAGCCATGAAATTCTGCCTGTCCATCAGGTTGAGGTCACTGATCGCCGAGCCCCGAATGAAAACCACATGACTATTACCATGACTACGGGCTGACAAGGTTGATCTGGTTGGTCACATGGTTTCATTGAGATTCCTTCACTATTAAACCCTTTCTGCTCCTCCTAATGTAAACAATACCACTGCAGAATGCTAATAAAGTTATTCACATCAAATTAGTGTCTGGCTGCGTTTGTAGGGGTTTCACCACCCAAGCTGGAAGACCCGCTGGGAGGGCTTTGCAATAGTCGAGGCGAGAGATAACCATGGCCTGTACCAGAAGGTGGGTGGCATAATGAGTGAGGTAGAGCCTGATTGTTATTATGATACATAGAGCAAAGCGGCACGTCCAAGACACACCCCCTGGTTGGAGTGATGGTGAGGAGTCAATTTGTAGTTTGATGTTGCGGTGAATAGATTGCTTGCCTGGAAGGACCAAGCGTTCAGTCTTATAGAGGTTTTGTTGAAGGTAGCAAGCCTTCATCCATGCAGATATGTCAGAGGATCCGCGCCGAGACCGTGGGGTCGTCTGGTGGGAAGGATATGTAGAGTTGCATATCGTCTGCGTAGCAGTGGTAAGAGAAGCCGTGAAAACGAATGATCGGCGCCAGTGAGGCGGTGTAATTTGAGAAGAGAAGAGGCCTTAGCACTGAGCCTTGGGGAATCCCTGTGGTGAGGCAGTGGGAATGCCCCAAGAGGTAGGATTTCAACCACAGGAATGCTTTGCCGAGATGCTCCTGGCTGAGAGTGCGGATAGCAGGATCATGTGGTTGACTGTGTCAAAGGCAGCTGATAAGTCAAGCAGGATAAGAACTGAGGATTGGGCTGCAACTTTAGCTGACCTTGGGGCTTTTGTTACAGACAACAGAGCCATTTCAGTAGAGTGGCCACTCTTAAAACCAGACTGATTGGGAGGTTATTTTGTCTGCCCGTTCGATAGCTTTGGGTAGAAATGGTAGAAGTGAGAAGCCTGGAGGAGATGTGTGATGTGTGATTGTGTGTCACAGTTTTATTCCAACCTTTTCCCACCCTCCTCTCTGTCTCTGCTAGGCCTACAGTAGCATCCTCCATCACAGCAATGGTCCTAGAAGACCAGGGGTGTCTGGCTGAACTGATTCCAGTAGCCTCTTAGTTCATGAACACAGTATAGGATGTGAACGCTGCAGCAGAATGTTTTCCTACACACTACCTCTCAACATTGAAATTCACATGAATACAAACAAGTAATAACAGCACAAAAGGTAACAGAATATGTACCTAGCAAAAAACTATGAAGAGTAACTGTAGCTATACTATGTATTAATACATTTATTCATTTTGCTGACGTTTTTATCCAAAGTGACTTACAATTGCTAATTATGTCAGAGGTCTCTGCCTCACGCCTCTGGAGCAACTAAGGGTTAAGTGTCTTGCTCAAGGACACATTGGTAGATGTGTCACAGTGGGGGATTGAACCCTGTTCTCTCACCATCACCACCCATAGCTATACGCTAATTTGTGTGTGGGTGTTTTTGTGTACCAACATAATTTCACGTATTTAAATGTTTAAATATGATTTCAAATTATTTGTGAATTAAAATCAAAATACTAAAGTTGCAAGTGCATTCATGTGTGTGTGTCTTAAGGATATATGTGTCAGAGTTATCTGGGTGTGTTTGACACAGGTTCCTCCTATCCTAAGGGTTAATAATAATTAACCACAATATTAAGAAACTGGCAGCATCTGTGTCGAGGTGTGTCTCTCTCTCTGCTGTCTTACTGTCTCCACTGCACTTGACTCTGCTGCAGCTGAGCTGTCTGCACTGAGTTCAGCAACACTCTAGTTTTGAACAGATGAACATACAATTCAGACAAACTAGAACAAAAGCATGCTACTATTATAAAACCTCATATAGCTATTGCATATAAGTAAGTAATCCTGTAATAGAAGCCATCCTACCTATGGATTAATTACCTGCATATATTTACATTTTACTCATTTAGCTGACACTTTTATCCAAAGCGACTTACAATTCCTATACATGTCAGAGGTCGCACGCCTCTGGAGCAACTAGGGGTTCAGTGTCTTGCTCAGGGACACAATGGTGGATGTCTCACAGTGGGAATTGAACCCAGGTCTCCCACACCAAAGACAAGCATCTTATCTATGCGCCATCACCATCATCATTCAATGTTTTATTTTTATTAAAACATTGATATACAATGTATGACTAGGCTACTTGTGTACAGATGTCTGCAGGAGTGGATGGCTATTATAGGTTGTTTTTTAGAGAGCTAGAGCTAATTAGCAGAAAACCATTGTCAACCACTTATCCTGGAGCCAATCCCAGCTGACATTGGGCGAAAGGTGGGGTACACTCTGGACAGGTCGCCAGTCCATCGCAGGGCCACACATAGACAGACCACCACTCACACTCACACCTGAGGACACCAATCAACCTAGTAGGCCGCATGTCTTTGGATGGTGGGAGGAAGCCAGAGAACCTGGAGAGAACCCACGCAGACACTGGGAGAACATGCAAACTAAACACAGAAAGGCCCGGACGACTGGGGTTCAAACTCAGGACCTTCTTGCTGTGAGGCGACAGTGCTAACCACTAGGCCGCCGTGCTGTCCTCATAGCTACATAATAGTCTCTTCATTTAACGTTTCAACATTACTCAGAACATAAAGACAGAATAGTTGTACTAAAATGTTACTGCTGCGTTTTTTTCTGCTGTTGTTGCTGGAATCGTCTGCTGCGTTGGCTGGGAAAAAAAGTACCAGATAACAGGAAGAAATTTTCCCCGATGGAAAACCAAAAATGGTGAGTAGAGTCGAGGCGAGTCGAGCTGGTACCATTCGGTGGAAAAGGGGCATATTATCAGTGGAACCCACCCTAATTCTGGCCTTTGGAGGAGACTTTCATTAAATGTGTAGGATGTTTCTGCAGCATTCTGCATGCAGCGGCACAATGACAATCTTCTCCCATTGTGTTACAACAGGGAAGCCTCACTCTGATGTTTCCCTCTGAGTTAGAAGTGTTTGTAGTCCTGGCTTCATTGTCAGAGGGTTCTCCGATGCTGGATCTCCTCCTCCTCCTTTTTGTTTTGTGAGCTGTTGTTGGTTTTTTGGACATTTCTTGAAAATCATAACAAAACTAAACAATCAGAGAGAAGAGTGAAAAACCTATTGCCAGTACAGTCGGGATGTTTCGAGCTGTAAAAGAGAGCAGAAATCAGCAGGTGAGACTGATGGTCATAGCTCTTTGAGGTCGCTTTTACACGTTTAAGGCTCCATGGTCAACGCTTAGCAACAACAAATATGCAACGTCCGGTTAGACTTTCAAAATAAAACGCTAGCGTTGTTAAATATAATTGGTAAGTAAGTAAGTAAGTAAAATTAATTTGATATAGCACCTTTCACAAAATAACAGTGATAATAAAAGCAACAATAAAACAGTGGAGCAATCTGACAATTATACATAAGCATCAAACATTATACAAGGCATAAATCAATATAATCAGTGTATTTGCGTATATTTAACATATTAAATGATCAATTTAAGGTTTAGACAACTGAAGTACTTGGTTGAGGTCAGGAAAAGATCATGGTTTGGATTAAATAACTACGTACATCAGTTTGCGTAAATATTAAAAAATATTTAACGTTGACTTTTTGTTTTACTCGGGACACAAACCCCGGTCTCTCGGTTCAAAGTCTGGGTTCTGGCCCTCCAACCACCTCCTAACTTTGTTCTGTTAAATATCATATACCTGCCTTACCATCAAATACTGACGCTACAGGGCTTCCCCCACTGCCTTGAACTGAGGCGCTATAGGGATCCCAAGTGCGTTACAAACTGAGGCCGACGGGTTTTGACCATGTGTCCATATGTGACGAGTGGAGGAGTGAGAACGGGCTGGAGGCAGAAGTTTCTAGCACCGCACTGTGTTAGGAAGCATGGTTGTATAAAATAATTAGGAATGATGGAGAGTGTAGGAGCTCATACTTACATGACGTGCTGAAGGGAAACGTAGTATAGTATACAGTACTGACTGAGTATGTAGTACGCAGTATGCAGTACTGAGTATGTAGTACGTAGTATGCAGTACTGAGTATGTAGTAGGCAGTATGCAGTACTAACTGAGGATGTAGTAGGCAGTATGCAGTACTGAGTATGTAGTATGCAGTATGGAGTACTGAGTATGTAGTACGTAGTATGCAGTACTGAGTATGTAGTAGGCAGTATGCAGTACTGAGTATGTAGTACGTAGTATGCAGTACTGAGTATGTAGTAGGCAGTATGCAGTACTAACTGAGGATGTAGTAGGCAGTATGCAGTACTGAGTATGTAGTATGCAGTATGGAGTACTGAGTATGTAGTACGCAGTATACAGTACTGACTGAGTATGTAGTAGGCAGTATGCAGTACTGAGTATGTAGTACGTAGTATGCAGTACTGAGTATGTAGTAGGCAGTATGCAGTACTAACTGAGGATGTAGTAGGCAGTATGCAGTACTGAGTATGTAGTATGCAGTATGCAGTACTGAGGATGTAGTAGGCAGTATGCAGTACTGAGTATGTAGTACGCAGTATGCAGTACTAACTGAGTATGTAGTAGGCAGTATGCAGTACTGAGTATGTAGTAGAAAGAATGCAGTACTAACTGAGTATGTAGTAGGCAGTATGCAGTACTGAGTATGTAGTAGGCAGTATGCAGTACTGAGTATGTAGTAGACAGAATGCAGTACTGAGTATGTAGTAGACAGAATGCAGTACTGAGTATGTAGTAGGCAGTATGCAGTACTGAGGATGTAGTAGGCAGTATGCAGTACTGAGTATGTAGTATGCAGTATGGAGTACTGAGTATGTAGTACGTAGTATACAGTACTGACTGAGTATGTAGTAGGCAGTATGCAGTACTGAGTATGTAGTACGTAGTATGCAGTACTGAGTATGTAGTAGGCAGTATGCAGTACTAACTGAGTATGTAGTAGGCAGTATGCAGTACTGAGTATGTACGTAGTATGCAGTACTGAGTATGTAGTATGCAGTATGGAGTACTGAGGATGTAGTAGGCAGTATGCAGTACTGAGTATGTAGTATGCAGTATGGAGTACTGAGTATGTAGTACGTAGTATACAGTACTGACTGAGTATGTAGTAGGCAGTATGCAGTACTGAGGATGTAGTAGGCAGTATGCAGTACTGAGTATGTAGTATGCAGTATGGAGTACTGAGTATGTAGTACGTAGTATACAGTACTGACTGAGTATGTAGTAGGCAGTATGCAGTACTGAGTATGTAGTACGTAGTATGCAGTACTGAGTATGTAGTAGGCAGTATGCAGTACTGACTGAGTATGTAGTAGGCAGTATGCAGTACTGAGTATGTAGTACGTAGTATGCAGTACTGAGTATGTAGTAGGCAGTATGCAGTACTGACTGAGTATGTAGTAGGCAGTATGCAGTACTGAGTATGTAGTACGTAGTATGCAGTACTGAGTATGTAGTAGGCAGTATGCAGTACTAACTGAGTATGTAGTAGGCAGTATGCAGTACTGAGTATGTAGTATGCAGTATGCAGTACTGAGGATGTAGTAGGCAGTATGCAGTACTGAGTATGTAGTACGCAGTATGCAGTACTAACTGAGTATGTAGTAGGCAGTATGCAGTACTGAGTATGTAGTAGAAAGAATGCAGTACTAACTGAGTATGTAGTAGGCAGTATGCAGTACTGAGTATGTAGTAGACAGAATGCAGTACTGAGTATGTAGTAGACAGAATGCAGTACTGAGTATGTAGTAGGCAGTATGCAGTACTGAGGATGTAGTAGGCAGTATGCAGTACTGAGTATGTAGTAGGCAGTATGGAGTACTGAGTATGTAGTACGTAGTATGCAGTACTGAGTATGTAGTAGGCAGTATGCAGTACTAACTGAGTATGTAGTAGGCAGTATGCAGTACTGAGTATGTAGTAGACAGAATGCAGTACTAACTGAGTATGTAGTAGGCAGTATGCAGTACTGAGTATGTAGTAGGCAGTATGCAGTACTGAGTATGTAGTAGACAGAATGCAGTACTGAGTATGTAGTAGACAGAATGCAGTACTGAGTATGTAGTAGGCAGTATGCAGTACTGAGTATGTAGTAGGCAGTATGCAGTACTGAGTATGTAGTACGCAGTATGCAGTGCTGAGTATGTAGTAGGCAGTATGCAGTACTGAGTATGTAGTAGGCAGTATGCAGTACTGAGGATGTAGTAGGCAGTATGCAGTACTGAGTATGTAGTAGACAGAATGCAGTACTAACTGATTATGTAGTAGGCAGTATGCAGTACTGAGTATGTAGTAGGCAGTATGCAGTACTAACTGAGTATGTAGTAGGCAGTATGCAGTACTGAGTATGTAGTAGGCAGTATGCAATACTGAGTATGTAGTACGCAGTATGCAGTGCTGAGTATGTAGTAGGCAGTATGCAGTACTGAGTATGTAGTACGCAGTATGCAGTGCTGAGTATGTAGTAGGCAGTATGCAGTACTGAGTATGTAGTACGCAGTATGCAGTACTAACTGAGTATGTAGTAGGCAGTATGCAGTACTGAGTATGTAGTACGCAGTATGCAGTACTGAGTATGTAGTAGGCAGTATGCAGTACTGAGTATGTAGTACGCAGTATGCAGTACTGAGGATGTAGTAGGCAGTATGCAGTACTGAGTATGTAGTACGCAATATGCAGTACTGAGTATGTAGTAGGCAGTATGCAGTACTGAGTATGTAGTAGGCAGTATGCAGTACTGAGGATGTAGTACGCAGTATGCAGTACTGAGTATGTAGTACGCAGTATGCAGTACTGAGGATGTAGTAGGCAGTATGCAGTACTGAGTATGTAGTACGCAGTATGCAGTACTAACTGAGTATGTAGTAGGCAGTATGCAGTACTGAGTATGTAGTACGCAGTATGCAGTACTGAGTATGTAGTAGGCAGTATGCAGTACTGAGTATGTAGTACGCAGTATGCAGTACTGAGGATGTAGTAGGCAGTATGCAGTACTGAGTATGTAGTAGGCAGTATGCAGTACTGAGGATGTAGTAGGCAGTATGCAGTACTGAGTATGTAGTACGCAGTATGCAGTACTAACTGAGTATGTAGTAGGCAGTATGCAGTACTGAGTATGTAGTACGCAGTATGCAGTACTGAGTATGTAGTAGGCAGTATGCAGTACTGAGTATGTAGTACGCAGTATGCAGTACTGAGGATGTAGTAGGCAGTATGCAGTACTGAGTATGTAGTACGCAGTATGCAGTACTAACTGAGTATGTATAGGCAGTATGCAGTACTGAGTATGTAGTAGAAAGAATGCAGTACTAACTGAGTATGTAGTATGCAGTATGCAGTACTGAGTATGTAGTAGACAGAATGCAGTACTAACTGATTATGTAGTAGGCAGTATGCAGTACTGAGTATGTAGTATGCAGTATGCAGTACTGAGTATGTAGTAGGCAGTATGCAGTACTGAGTATGTAGTAGGCAGTATGCAGTACTGAGGATGTAGTAGGCAGTATGCAGTACTGAGTATGTAGTAGGCAGTATGCAGTACTGAGGATGTAGTTGGCAGTAGCAGTACTGAGTATGTAGTACGCAGTATGCAGTACTGAGTATGTAGTAGGCAGTATGCAGTACTGAGTATGTAGTACGCAGTATGCAGTACTGAGTATGTAGTAGGCAGTATGCAGTACTGAGGATGTAGTAGGCAGTATGCAGTACTGAGTATGTAGTACGCAGTATGCAGTACTGAGGATGTAGTACGCAGTATGCAGTACTAAGTATGTAGTAGGCAGTATGCAGTACTGAGTATGTAGTAGGCAGTATGCAGTACTGAGTATGTAGTAGGCAGTATGCAGTACTGAGGATGTAGTAGGCAGTATGCAGTACTGAGTATGTAGTACGCAGTATGCAGTACTGAGGATGTAGTAGGCAGTATGCAGTACTGAGTATGTAGTAGGCAGTATGCAGTACTGAGGATGTAGTAGGCAGTATGCAGTACTGAGTATGTAGTACGCAGTATGCAGTGCTGAGTATGTAGTAGGCAGTATGCAGTACTGAGTATGTAGTACGCAGTATGCAGTGCTGAGTATGTAGTAGGCAGTATGCAGTACTGAGTATGTAGTACGCAGTATGCAGTACTAACTGAGTATGTAGTAGGCAGTATGCAGTACT